TCGCAGTTCACGTTTTCCTTTGTAATTCGTGCCTTTTTTTTTACGAGCTACGTTATTCGATCTTTCCTTGCTTCTTTTTTCTTTTGGGATAATTAATTTTATATGTAAAACTCAGATTTCGTTTTCCAGTTTTTCAATTACCCTTTGAAAAGATTAGCAGGCTCCTTTGATAAGATTTGAAACATAAATAGAAAATTAGGAAGAGAATGATTTCTGGTGGTTTGCTTCCGAATTGGCTTGTTAACGCTAAAAATTGTGTCAAAGTACAGTTATTAGCAACTTGCCAAAAGTGAATTTTTATGTAACTTAAAACCAATGTGACAGAATATTAATCAATATACAATAAAAGTGAATTTTATGTAACTTATGTGATAAAAAGTTGTTCTTATATCGATGCAAGTAGAAGTGAACACGCAGAAGACAATGACAGAAAGTTGCAAACGAAAGTGCTTATCAATTCTAATAAAAGTGAAAGGACGAGGCTGAAAATACTGAAGCGAAGAAAAGCAACAGAACACACTGCACTTTTGCTCTCAGAACCAACAAAGAGCGAAGAGTATCGAAAGTACTCTCTCGAACCTCGAAACCGAACCAATCATACTTTACTTAACTCGTTATCACGATCACTTGTTCTTATAAAATCGTCTTGAAAAAGAGAAGAAAATGCGAGCATGTGAAGGGATAGATGGCAAAGGAAGAAAAACAAAGAAGAGAAGGGGGGTAGAAGAGCGACCGATTAAATCGGATGGCGGTAAATGAGAAAAGTTCGAGAAGAGTTCGCTGGGTGTTGCGATAAAAGTTCCGAAATGTAAATGAACATAAAGCATTCCGCTATTCTTTCTACTTCCTTCTTCTCTCCTTCTCCCTCCTTCGTTCATTTTCCTCTTTTTTTTTCCTCCTCCTTTTAGGCAATTCTGTCCGCGCCAGTGTCACGTGATAACTGTTCATCCGATGGCGAGCTGACGTTTTCAATTACACCGAGTCCTCGATTATTGGGCCAGAGAGAGAATTTTTATCGCGTTCATACGATTCAGCGACAATCGACGAGAAACCGCGAAAAATTGTCAATGGCCGACGGGGAAACCGGGCCAATAGGATAATAAAGTTCTCGCTAACTTCGCTCGACTCCTTCGACTTCTTCCTT